CGCTGCACGAGGTTGTTGTTTCGATGGTATTGAAATAAGCAAAGGGCTTAGCTTTCAAAACTTGGCCTCCAAACTCTTTTAAAGCCCCAAATCGATATTTGTTTATTTGCATTCTAGCAGCTGTTATTATGTTAAATTAATTCCTATCAGCTCATTTATTTTGCTGTCAGCATGACCTGGTCACAGGAAATCCATATAGTTTCAACGGTTCGAGAGATGGTGTCTTTGGAACAGAAGTTACTCTCTTCCCTAACTCACCAAATAATTTTTAAGCAAAGAAACAGCTGAAATCACTAGATGGACTTCCAGGACAGTCAAGAGAATTCTGACAAAAAGGCAATTTATCTTACCATCTTCGATATCATAGGCGTAAGATGACAAGCGCAGCGTCGTCGCACAGTATTCACACTTGAAGCAACTGCGGTGGAAGAACTTGCCTTCAGCACTCAGCCTTTCCATCACATAGACTCGCTTGCGGCAGAAGTAACAAACATCACTGCCTCCCAGGTTTTGGGGGAACTCCTTTTTGAGCGAGCCCTAGACAGAAACAGGCATGGCTATATTTGTGTGTGTCCAACTTCACCAAGATTGCAGAGCCAAATTTTCTCTTCATTTATGCAGATAAAGGAACATCTGGATGCTGCATTTTTTCACACGTGGATGCTGTAGTTCTTGGACACAATTCACAGGTTTAACCAGGACACCAAAAACTAACCTTATTGTCCAGGGAAGAAGGTCCTAGGATGCCATGCCTATATATGTCGGGAGTAAAATAAGCTCTGGATGGAAGAGTAGACACCAGAACTATTAATGATGACCTTGAAATAAATGACTGAAGGAGGTATATGATGGAAAGCCAAAACCATCAGAAAACCCTCAAACAGCAATTCTTAGACATACATTATCAAAATCAGTATCTCCTCCAGAAAATAATAACGCAGAATTAGCCCCAGTGGATCAAACACATCCTCATAAATATGATAAGCAGTTTCTCAAATGTTTATGCATAACTCTGGGACACTGAGATTAGATTCAAACATTTTGCAAGGAAAATGAGGACAAGAGTGAGGGCAGGTGGAGAAAGGGAATTTAAGTCTTTCACAAAGCTATGACAAATTCCATCAGTGGTAGTAACAACTGGACACTCACAGTACTTCAGATCTACAGTACATCTAATCACAAACACATATCATCTTCTGTACATCATCTTACCAGTTCCTTCTTGTCTAGAAGGGTTTTGGGTTGCTCTTTCCTTTGTAGCTGATTGGCTATCTGCTCAGCCAATGAGCTCACTCCGCCTGTGTACATCTTTATATACTTCTACCAGATGGATGGAATAAAACAATAGGGCAGTGAGAAAAGGGGAAAAAAAAATCAAATTAAAAATGACTAAAATGAAAACAGGTTAGGTGGTGAAAAGGTGCAGAGAGGTCAAATCATGCCAAGACAGTGGACAATATGAAGTGACAAGTAGTAGCAGCAAAGCTAGTGTGATCAGAAATCACAGTACAGTTCAGGAACAACTGTAACAACAGAAAAGAAGACTCCTATTTTGCATTCTCTTAGTGCTCTAAAAATACTATGCTGATGATGATGATGAAGAAAGCAGATCTAATTTTCACTTTGTGGTGTATTTTGCACCTGAAAACCTGAGCATAGACACTACTTAAAGATGAGGCCAAATATACGTTAAAGGTTTTAGGTTCCAGGAAAAATTGGGATCAGAAACAGATCTTTTAGAAGACATGTTACATAGTCTAAACAACATGCTGATGACAACAGCATATTTATATGCTTAGTAATTGGAAAGAATTCATTTACAGTGCATTCATAAAACAGGGAGAAATCCTTAACTTAAGGATTTAACTTAATCCTTAAGAAACTTAAAGTGATTCGAAAATAGGAATTCTTCCAATACTAAAAATACATAGAGGTTTACATGAAAAAAGATGCAAATCTTCATCCAACACATGAAAGCCATACCCACATACATCTGGAACACGTACTCGTTCAACTCTGAACATGGCTTTATGACTAGGCTTTTCTCCATCATGGGTACTGACTGACTCCATAACTTTGGATATCTAAAACCCCTCCAGTATTCCAAGAAATCTAGGCAGGTTGGCTGTTACCTTAGATGGTACAAAATGAGTGTTTGCAAGCCAAAGTCAGTCACTGCAGGAGTGGAAGAAGTGTTTTTCACAGGAAATATGTACAGCCATTGGCAATAATTACATGGTTAAGAAGATTACGTGGTTACATCCCCATTAGCTCAATCACACTGCAAACGCCACGTATTTGACTCAGAGCAGCAAGGAGCACGCCAAGCAATTTTCCTTTTCCAGAGTAAGAAGCATTATGAATGTTTCTAGTTGGAGTCTCCTCAGCAAATGAAGGACCATCAGAGAGACACTCCAGCTGCTGGAAAGTGTAGGATACCAAGGATGACAATATTCTGAAGGAAAGGACTAAAGCTATACCTCAAAACCCCTTTTACTCATATAGCAGAACTTGTTTGAAGCACACTGATTATTTCCCACAACTAATAAAACAGCATAAATTTCACACATGTGGTTATAAGCCTTTTAGGAATGTTTAAGACCTTCACATGTTCAGACATGAGAACAGCAGGAGGCATCACAAAAACTGAGATTCACCACAGAATGGGTGGTACTCTGGGGACAAAGATTTTGAAAATGGAGCACTCAGCCATCAGAATTACCAGTGCTATCACTGAAGTCTGTGCCACTGCAGTAATGAGGGTTTATTTCTACCCAGAAAGAACTTCTGCGCGTCTACTGATTCGACCCCAAAATGCAGAGCACTCGTAGTATTTGCATATACGCAAAAAAACCCAACATGATTTGTCTTTCAAAGTTTTCCAGGTTTCATATTCTTCCTCAGCTAATGTGTGCACACACATATGTGCACAGTTACCCTTCAATGTCATACATTATATCTTGTCAAATATTACATTTAAAATGGTACCTGCTGGAAAAATTTTCTTCCTTTCATTCAACATTGAACTTTAACTGGCAATCATAATCATCTGGCTAAGAGATTTCCACTTTCCTCTAAAAGACCAGAAACCTTTGAGGCTTTAAGTTTTTTTAAAAGATAGTTCAAGCTTTTCCATAGGAAAAAAACTTTCTTTTAGCTGAACCAGGTTTCCAGTGAACAAGTTTTGATTTGAAACCCTCATCCAACCTTAACTGCAGATGCTTCAGTATTTTTAAATTTCCACCAGCCCATGAGGTTCCATTCTTACAAAGTGACTATATGCTAATCTTAACTCACAATAACTTGGGCTATTTGGTGTGGGAAATTTAGTTGCTGAGTCTTTGATCTGGGGTTCTGTGTTTCCGATTCATTATGTTTTTTTTTCCTGTATAACACATCTAGACCAATACCAGGTCTTAAATGAAACATTTTATCTTTCCTCCTGTGGCCAAAATCCTTCAAGATATACAATGTTCTGTAACATTTTCAAGAGCAGACAAAGAACCCAATCCAGCTTAGGTCAAACCAAGTTCCTGCTGTTTACGTATAGCAACTGCGACTAGATCACATTCTGAGTGACTTTTCAGAAAGCCAAAGTACTTATTTCACACTCTCCATTAAGCACATATGCACAAACACATTCTGTAGTTTGGCCCAGGATCCCAACAAAAGCAGCAAGCAAAACAAGAAAGCCTTACTGCAAAGCCAGAAGGACTATCAATGCTCAAAAAAACCTGATCTGAGAGTGAGATGTACAACAAGCTTTTCATTTACACCAAATGTTAAACATATTTAGTTTCAAACAGCTTTACGGCTGACAATAACCAAACTAAGCCACAAGCTGCCTCTGGCTTCTCACTGGTGCATGAATATGCACAGACATTGCATTCTGCAGGTGAAGCATGGCAAGCCTAGCCATCTCTTGTGGGGTGTCCTTGGTGGTGGGACCAGGGTGCAGCAAGCAAACACAACTGGGTGCACCTTGCAATGCTCAGGCTAGTGCTACCTGTCGAAGAGAGTCAGATGAAGGTGAAGAAGGGCGATTAGAAGAACGGAGGCTAAGGGAGAGCTCCCACTGGTCAACAAAGAATCGGCGAGACGGTTCAGTCTCAGGCTAAAAAATAAAATAAAAATCAAAGCAATCACACACGGCTACAGAGGGAAAAAGAGAGAAAATAAAAAACCTCAGGCCCTTCTGCCCACCATCAAAACCAATTTCTTAAGAGACTCTTGTAGGAAAACTTGGAGAAAAATGTCCAGGGTATCTTCACTTTCTCCCTAGTGAGGCAGAGCAAGTTATTCTTAATTTGCTCTTTATTAGGTTTTAAGTTATTTAGGACCATTTGGAAACAGTTATCTACTTCCACAGATGTCCAGCCTCCTGTAACTCAAACAACTGAGCCACTGGCAAAGATCCCAAATCAATTTCCTCTGCCCCTCCTGTATCTCCCATTGTTCTGTATTACTGGCCTAAAGCACTAAGATTGTATTTCAGGCCACGTGAGACCTCTTCTCTATTTAGACTATATAAACCAAAGACTTGCTCTCCTTGGAGACTATAAGAGAAAAAAATTAACTTGTATGCGTTGCCAGTAGTCAGCAGCAAATTTCCAAGTTGAAATTTACTGTAAGCAGATTGGAAAACTCACACTAAAAAGAATGAAACAATATAAAACAGTCTGTTCTTGCTTATCAAATGGCAAACAATAAATCTCAAACTGAGAATCTGCATCCTTCTGAAACTGGTTCCTCACAAACAATAGCTGGAAGTATCAGACAAATAGCACTGGTAGAAACTGTGCATTCCTAGAAATTACAATCTGGAAAGCAAAACTATGCAAATTTCAAATATTTGACACTCTTTTGTAAGAAAATTATGTTTTTCCATTATAAAAAGGAAAAATAAATGTCCTGTAGCTGCATGACCCATGAGAACAGCTCTTTCTGGCCACTTCAAATAGCCTAGTCTCGAGATTAAATCTACTGGACAAAATGCAAAATAGCTTGGCCTTCACAATATCCCCAATTTATAAATTGGGGATATAGCTGTTTACTTTATACACAGATTTTCGGTACTTAAGATCATCACCATTTAATCAAATTTCTTTTCCGAAAATGTCTGTCTTTGCTAAGCTTTCTTTTACTATTCTTTTACTCTATTTTTCTTGTTTTCTTCCCTTATATCCCACATCATAATCTATCAGTGCCTGCAGCGCTCCAACATCTGTTTCCTCTTTTTCCTCTCTGCCCTACCCACTTTATTCTTTTCTCTACTTTGTGCTTTCCATCTCCCATATATTTTCCCTTCTCCTTAATTTTTCACTACACAGAAATAAGTTTCAAAACTAATGTTTATCTTTGCATTATAATGCTGTTAATCTTTTCCATGATCAAAAGGAGCTTAAAGGTGCTGGAGAGCAAAACAAAAGGTAGAAGCAAGACATTTTGGTCTAGATGTTAACTACTTTATTATCATTTCAACTGAGTAAGGAAATGCACATGAGCATGCTGTCATTGGATCAAGCCCAACATCTCCAGGTGTGTCAGCCATTAGGAAATGGATGTCAATATGTTTAAGTTAGTCTTCTTACCCAGCCTTCCATGGTTTCTTCTGTGTCCCCAAATTCTATCTAAAATCCAGTCAAAGGTTAACTCTTCCTTCCTTGAAAATAGCTTCACTGCCATTAATTATCAGCAAAGACAGCATCCCCAAAAGAACAGCAATGGAAAGTGACCTAAATGTTATCAATTCCCTTCTGACATGGTGTGGAAAAGTTAAGCCCACCAGCAAATGCTCTGGGACTGTTTATACTCCAGCTCAAGAAAAGAGCTTGATTTTGGATGGTTAACTCAAAACAGTAAGTTATGAAAAAAATCGCTTATGTAGATGGTGTTTTCCAAAAGCACTTTCCAGTTTGCCAAATGTTGTTGAAGAGAAGTGAAAAAAGGGGGAAAAAAAACATAGGACAAGTAACTAGAAACTAAAGAAACCACTGTGCAAACTGGCATCCTCCCATATGCCAAAGACGACACACTGGAGAAAAAAAATAAGCACAAAACCAAATCAAAACAAAAGCGTACAATGGAATCAAAGAAAATCTGCAAAAGCTGCCAACTCTACCATTGGATATCAGTATACAGGAAGTTTGGACACAAAAGTAGTACTTCAGAGTCAGGAATTATGCTTGGAAAATGCAAATGTTCTTGCTTCCAGAAGCAAGTAAAATATGTGAGCAACTGCCTGGTAAAGGACCACTGTGAGATGATTCGATCTGGAGTGCAGCTGGTTTTCAGCATCTACTCTGAAGCTTGGAGGCTGTCTTTTACCTTATTGTTTATGTTGTGTTTTGAGCAACAGAAACACTGTGGTTCATCAAACACGGAGACAGTTAAGAACTGGCAAGTAGGATAAAAACAATACACAAAATAGACTTGACTGTGTCTTTTTAACCACACAACTGTACAGCAATGGTCATCATATTTTGTTGAATTTTACTATCGCTCTGACTCCAGATGACCCCAGTACCCAGAATCTCGCAGGTCTGTAGTCACCTGATGCCTCACTGCAGGTCTGGACTCCAGGAGGGCAGCCAGCTGACATGCCCTTTGCTCAACATTCTCAGGCACTTGGTCATCAGAAAATAAATGAGGAGATCTCTGTGAGGTGAGGAAGGATGGAGGAAGTAAACAAACCAGCAAAAAAGCCTCAGAAGGAATAGACACTGAAATGCCAGGCAAAAGGTATGAAATTTCCATGCAGAACAGTAAGATGAGCTCCCAAGTGAAGATTGATTTTATTTCCAATAAATGGAAATTATTTATTTCCAGTATCTAGTGTTCTAATGAAGTGCTACGTTTTGACCCTCAAGGCCAAGAAAAACAGTTGAATTAGGTGTTATATACAGCTCTCCTTCCTAGGACTGCTGCAGCCAAACCCAAACAAGCGTGTGGCCTCTCCCTCTGGCATTACCATCCAAAAGAAAAAAAAAACAAACAGCAGCTTTATCATGCACAAAGGAGCTTATTTGACAATTTCTTTCACCATAGTTCTTTAATCTCAAGAATTTCCTTTACATGTCTATACCTGTGTTTCTGAGATTTTGTGCACACTTGTTTTAGGGTAATGTACTTCAGTTCTCCAAGAATGAATCTCCAAAGTGAATGCTGTACTCACCAAAAAGTGGATGTTGAATGAAACTGGCTGGCTGGAACAAAGCACGGCAAAATCAAACTATCATAGAAGTTGCCGGTTTTACCTCTGCAACTTCACTGCCCTACTTATTCTTCCTGCACTGTCATGTCAACACATTCCAGGCACCATATTTGACACCTCTGCTATTCTGGTCTTTCATATCAGTCTTCTTAGACTGTTGCGTGGTGTATGTAGTGACATGGAAAAAAGATCTGGCTCATAGCCTTGCTGTACAGGACAGGAGTATCACCTGCAATGTCACAGAGCCCTCAGGTAATTTGTTTGTAGAGTTCAAAAGTAAATGGACCAGAAACTACAAATGTGTGCATGAAGAAACCTCAGGCTTGATCTGTCAAGAATGCCAGCGTTGCTATGTATTGTTATCTGTCCTCCAAAGCAGAACAGAGAATTGGGTTCACACCCAATTTACAACACTTTTCCCATTCAAATGCATTAATACTACTCTCTACTTTCAGCTGTTTTCAGTTCCACCTACTCCTTCATACTACCTCATTTTCACTAAAACTAGGGCCTATTATAAAGCTGTGGGCTTCTGTGTCACTGCAGACACATGCTTATTCATTTTCTACTGTCTGTCAGAAAACATTCAGCCCACAAAAGTCTTTTGTTAGAACACATTCTGAAAATTGCAAGAGTTTTATATCTGGCTACCACTTATGACTTAATTAATTCAAAGCCTTTACTGGAATGTCAATTAATTTGTCAATATGAATTCAAAGCAACCCATTTTTTCTAATGCCTGTTTTTTTTCTTTTACCATGCTTCTGTATAATACTGAGCCACTCAGACAGAGCATTTAATATTTCATTGTTAAGAAGACTTCAAAGGGTCTATGATAAATAATGCCTCATTGTTTTTCCTTTTACTTTGGCCTGTAGGAGGCAGGACGGAATGCCAGTTGCTTAACCATCCAGAAAGCAGGCAGTGGAAACAATGCAACCATGTTCGCATGAATTAGCACAAAATATAACTCTTCTTGTTCTGCTACAGCCACAGCATATTTCAATAAAGAGGTGTAAGAGAAAAAGAAGAATGGTAAGAGCTTAAGTGCTAGATCTACAGCAAAATAAAAGCATGTAGCAAACTGTTTGATGAAGGCTTGTTATGCATTTATGTGGGTATCGCACAGAAATAATCACTCCTAATTGACTCTCAGCAGTTCCAGCGTGTTAACAGCAGCATTAGGATAAGTGTGTTTCACTACCCAGTATATTTGCTCTCCTTACTAAACACATCCACCACAGCCTTGTGTCATGAGCATCCATGCCATTTGTTCATGCTCTTTACCCTTTCCTGTCTGGGACTCTGCTCCCCAGGATAGTCGGCATCAGGTTCCCTGTTTCTCTGCAGGCAAAAAGGATGAGCTTAGTAATAACCACAGACCAACTTCCTAGTCAAAACACCCTTCATCTGATTATTCTTACGATGCAGGCAGAAGGGAGGCCATAATGATAGCGGAACAGTTTATTAAGAAGTATATCGTAAAACTGGTAATACTAATTTAGATCCTGTATGGAATTTTTTTAAAAATAGTCTGTATATATTAGGTCAGTAAACGATAATACAGTGCCACAATGTAATGAAATTAGTATGCTAAAGATGTTAAGACACTCAATATAACTCATACTGTGATGTTAGATCAAAGGAAGGAAATGAAAAGTTTAAAAGAAGTGTCAGAATGAATGCATTAGAATCACAGAGGTACAGGTTTTAAAAAGACATCAATGTAACAAGGACAGAGATCAATCTGAGTTTCTATGAGGCTTGAGCCAAGACAATTTCAGGAAGAGAAATCACTTCTAAGGAAAAAAGAATGTCTGCAAAAGCAGATCTCTCTCAATTGAGCCTAACAGAGCAGTTCTGCAGCACAGGGGGTAAAAATTCCTCGGAGTTAAAATGAGGAAACCAAAAATTTTTTTCTTATTATCTGATTGAGCAAGAAGACATGCAAAAACATTTCCAACAGCACATGACATAGAAAATGGTCAAAGTACACTTGTACCTCAGCAGTAGTTGGCTCTCATGATTGAGCTAGGCAACCAAAAAGACACAGAACAAACACACACTTGGAGAAGCTGAGGAGGGAAAATACAGGGCTAAGGAGTCCTCAGTGACTGAAAGCCAATTCCTTTATATGGAAAATTAATCCCACACCATACATTAAAGAGTAAAAATCAGCATTTAACTGCTTTAGTTTCCCTATCTGTAAGCTTGGGAAAAACCTTTCATAAAGTGCATCTGTCAAAATTTTCAGAGGATGTTGACAAGATGAAGGCAGCTAGCTATCACATTACCATATCTGATGATAATATCACACTCAATTCACTTTAAATGTGGGGTTTGCTAATGAAAAGAGCTTTTCCCACCCATTCTACCTAGATGTCCATTCCTTTATCCTTTCCTGCACCGTCCGCAGTGTGCCAGAAAACTGACCACTTTTTTTGTAAAAACAGTTTTAAAACAGATCAGTAAGCAGACCTGACCTATCTTGCAGATGCAGACAGCAGGAAGGCAGCAGAGAATGTGTGCTCCAGAGACTGGTAACTGTTAGACTACATTAAATGTAACACGTAACAATACTCTGAGAAATCACAGCAATAAGACAACTCAAACTTTATGTCCAAGAATAAGTCTTGTCTACTCTGCTAAAAGGTAACATGCCTTTACAGAGTTTATAGGCTTGCAAGTGTTCAGCAAAGAAACATTTTCCACCTAGGGGGAAATGTATTGGTACGATTCCTATTTGAAGTTATGGGGGGGTCTATGGAACTGCAGCTGCCTTTTTATCACTTCAAGGTTAGTTGAGGACTGATCAGGGAGGAGTGGAATTTATTATGGCAGTAGGAAAACAGGAAAAAAAATTAAAAAAAGACTCAGAAGCACTATGACCATGTATAAGAAGACACAAATATTAAAGGATTCCAGGTAATAGGACAACAAACATGTGCACAAACATCTGGATGCACATTTATACACTGTTCAGAACAGTTGCTCCAAATTCAAACTCACATAGACTGAACACAAACTCTTGTGACACAAAGACTTCTGTGGGGGGCAAACAGACCACATTGGAGATGTGCAGGCCACTACAACACTCTAAAAATGCACTTCATACAAGAAATCCTGAAAGAGTCTCACGAATACAAGGGCAAATTTTCATTCATACTCATTTAAATAAAGAGTGGAGATGGAGCAAAGTTGCTTTTTCTTTCCTTGTATTACTCCGAACATTTAATTTCTATTTTGCTGCAACGCAAAACTGGAAAAGGCTACTGGAATTACAAATTACCCTACAGTAAAATCTTTGAGTCTCCAGGGCATCAGATAATCATAATAATCATAATTCTGGTGAGCTAACACCAACCTGTGTTTCTAATCTAAGTTGAAGAAGCCCTATCCCCATCTGAAAAAAGGAAATTGGAAATGCATTTGTAAATGGGATACGCACTAACTGATCCAGTCACTTGTACAAGCAGTAATGAAGAGAGAGGGACAGAGCATGCAGAGGGAATCACCTGCTGCCTGGGATACGGTGGAGAGGAAGGTGGAGTGGAAGAGAGCATGATCACTTTTTTGGGGCAGGTCCGAGAACGTTCTCTACTCCTCAGCTTTTTTTAAAACAGAAAAAAGAAAAAAAAATCATGATAATGGTAGAAAAGAGATAACATTACCATTGGCTTTGGTGAGACAGGCCAGAACATACGAACTAAGAGACCATGATCCTAAGGTCACATCTCTCACAAATGACCTAAAGCTGAAAGACTAGTTTTTCCACCCACAGCCCCACGATCCCACGTCCATTTGACAGATACTTCTAGGGGCAGCCAACAGGTGCTTCTGTGAATCATCAGTTGAGGTTCTGACTCAAGGTCCTACAATCAGTGAAAGGTGCAACTCAGAACTCTCCATGCCACAGCAGGACTGCTCTCTTTGTTTCATGAAAAATGACTTATTGCTGTGCCTTGCAATGTTTCAAGATATCCATCCCGTTGACCTCATTACTCTTTCTTGCAGTTCACCAGCAATACAACTCAAGTCACAGCGTTCCGTTCTCAGCTTCAGATCCCTCCTCTTTAACTTACAGATACTAAACCACCTCAGGCAAGTTAAAACTGTACTCCACGATTCTACCAGAACAGAAATACAGCTGGTTTATAGCTTAAATGCAGCCATATCTAAAAGGCTGAATATTACACAATGCACATATGTGTCCTCATTTTAATACACCAGAAAACGTTCCTTTCTACTTCTGTACTTCCTTACTATGTACAGTCTTTTCTCCACCACTTCTTGATTATTAATGTATCTTCTGCCTGATTTTTCCTTTTCTTTTGAGTTTTCATCAAAGCATATCTGGAAATTGTTGGACTCTGAAAAAACAAAATGCTGTATATCCAAATCCACCGTTAGATAGCCTCCAATGAAACAGCATGCCATTTAAAGACATTACAGATGTTCCTTACTGCCCTTACAGCTGAGCTGGCACTAACCTCTGTTTGAGTGTTCTCTTCCCTTTCAGCAAAAAAAAAAAAATAATAAAAATAATCAACTTTTCCAACTCAAACAGCTGCTACAAGCAGCTTAAACTAAAGCACATGACTCTGCGCTGAAGAGGATGAGGAACATTTACATGCTGTTTCAAAAGGCTCATCTGTGAAGTCACTAATTTCTAGCTGAAAGAGTGATAACATTTTCAACCACTACAGCTGTTCATGGATTTTCATATGACCATAGCCAAGTTTGCATTTCAAATTTCAACACTTTCACAAACTTGTGTTGTTTTTCCATGGAAGAGCTCAGAATAAAATATTGTACAGGTGTATGTAGTATATGTTCAGTCCTCCAGTAGGATGCATTTCTGAGTATGCAAAGACAAAGATGGCTATGGGAAGGAGGAAAGATATATCAAAAAGATTTGCACCAAAAGACATATGACCTCCATCTTATGAACATCTTTGCACACATCAGTGATTTAAGCTTATGTATTACACAGACACCTTGTTGCTGTTAGGAGACCTGTGAAACCATAGCAAAAAACTGCTGAAGGCCGTAAGCTGAGAGTTTGGAAAGTCACGACAAAAATTCACTTTAAAAGACTCATCTCCAGTACCATATCCAAACAGTCGGATCCTTTTCTGAATAGACTACATGGCTTTCAATGGCTTCATGTTCCCTGATGAGATGCTCTTTCCCAGAAGCAGAAGAAATGGCTTAGAAAGCAAAAGAACATCTCATGGAAGATGTTTTTATACAAGTAGGTGAAGAAGATTAACCACCACAAAATGCAATCCATTTTTTTTAACGAGTTATTACCATCACATAAAAAATTGCACACATTTCTACTGTGCATATACACTTAACAGTATCTTCACACATTACTAGCTGCTGCTGAGGTGGTCATAATGGCACAAACCCAATTTTGGCAACATAGATCAACATTCTCAGTGTAGCTCAATAAAACAAATTTTGTAACCCAATTCATGAAGAAAACACAGGCCACACAGAATGCTGCAAGCAGCAGACTGGTAAGGTTTTTAACCTGCTTGATCTTTTGAAAGTTCTCCCTTTCCATAAGAGACAGCTTTAAAGATCTTCTGATGAAAGTTAAAACTGCTTCAGAACAGATTCCACCAAGATTTCACTCTTTCTAGGAATCCTGTCTTAGCAAGCCACCCCTACCCCACCTGTACAACAGACACAGAGACAGTCTGCCTTACAAACTCATTGAAACTGCTGGCCTTATAACTCTTAACACCAGGACAAAGCAAGATTATAGACTTAAACTGATAAGCAAGAACAGCTAAGAAAGTTCACCTCACAGACACGGGTAGGCAATAGTTCAAGGCAGATGTAAACTTTCCATCAAAACTGGTGGTCCAATCCAGACCACAGCCTTTGCAACCGTGTGGTTTCTCCCCTGCCATCAGCTCTTTCGCTTTTGCAGTATACTTTCCTCTTCCATGCAGTTTCCAAGACGCAGAACCAAACCTATCAAACACATGACGCAAAACTTTCCTTCTCCCAAAGACATCTGAGGACCTCAGCTTCATTCTGCCCACTAGCAGAATTGCCACACATTTGGCAATTTGTGTTTTCCCTGAATAACACATCACCACTTTGCGCTCCTAGGAAGTGCTTTGCCCCTCTTCAAAAGACTCCTCAGTAGAAGGTATCTGCTATGTGATAGAACTTATTATATTCAGTCACTAACTGAAATTTCTGCTCATAAACTCTGACACCTGTGCCAAACATGACAACACTTTCCCATAGCTTCATGAACAGCTCTTTCCAGTAAACATACATCCTCCCTAAAGAGCTCGTCAGGAGCAATACTAATCCTTTACAGTATCTCCAATAATATGGACTGGTACCCCACATCAACTCCACTGTTGGTAATCCATGGCCCAGGAAATAGCTTTGCAGCTAGAGTGTCCAGTTTAATAGCCATTTAAATACTGCAGTAACATACAGTCTCATAGCTATCAGATTTGAGAATAAGTGATTCTGAACACTCCCACAGCTTTTGAATGAAGACAACCAATGTTCTTCATTTCTCCAGGCAAGTAATAAGGAACCTTTGGAATATGGACTGTATCAATTGTTTCTTTGATCCTACTGTATTCTGCAGATTTTGCATCCTTAAGACTCAGTTTTATTCTTCTCCATTTCAACTGTCAGATGAAAAGCACTGCAAAATCCAACATGAAACCTGGACTCAAGAACCAACCACCTGCTGTTGGCATAGTAAAGCCTACCAAGGAAATATAATCTCCAGCTGTAATATTGAGAAGTGAATCATCCACACAAGTCAATCAGTGTCGAAAAAAACAATCTAAGTCCTCCGTAAGTCCAATTATTACAAATAGACTTTTCAAAGATCTGCCCCACATTGCTGCATATATGGAGATGCTATCCATGTTGAGAGACACCAGAAGGATTTTCTTTTCTTCCCCCCTTCCCATACCTTTTTTTAAAACCACGTAGTGCAAGCAAAAACAGAAACAACAAAAAAACAAAAAACCAAACAAACAAAAAACTGAACCAAAACCAAACTGCCTTCTGGTAAGGAGAAAATCCTCATCATAAAAGTGGAAAACAAAAATCTGTCCTTTTTCTATCAATTACAAGAAAGGATTACAACAAGCACTTTTGTATTTCACCATAAAGGCTTAATTATAAAGCCTTCATAAAGTTTCAATAGCAGGTTCAAATACAAATCTCAAGGTTGCAGGGATGCGCTCTTCTCCAAATGCTAAACCACAAATCTTCATCCTTGTGAACTGAGATAAACTGGATTGCATTGGTTGTCTTCTGTTGTTTTTTGTTTGTTTTTTTCTTCCAACTGACTTAATACTGTACAGCCACATTATGCTCTTCTGCATCAGTTGTTTGGGTTCCCTCCCTTCACCTGCGAAGTATTCTTAAAAAAATCGAAATCTGCTTTAATCATGGATTATGTGTATCCACCTGAAAGTACTCATTAGACATGGCACGCAGCACTAATTGTGCTGAATGCCTTTAACATGAAGTTCATCATGAATCCCCCAACATGCAGACCAGTGAATTTCCAAACTAGCGTCATTATCTTCCTCTTGACTCCAAAGTATGCTCTGATCCAACTGCAATCAGAAAGAAGCAGATGTTTCTCCAAGTTACACACGCCAGAAAAATGTATCTCAGCACTCTCAGAAACATGAAGAGGCCATTTGCACAGGAAAACAGTGGGAGTAGTGGAAGCCAGTGAGGTAAGTATCCCTATCTGCCTGAAAAGATGGTCTGTCACAAACCTTGCTTTTGAAAGTGCACTGCTAAAAGAAAAACACTGGCGATGACACTGGGCCAAAACACAGGACAGAAAACACAATTTGATACCTGCTGATTTTTCTGCTGTTGATCCCTATTCTGACACTTTCTGTTGCAGAAAACCTAATATTTACTTAATTCACAGTAATACAGGAATCCGCAGTGCAATGAATTTGAGAAGTTGACAAAGACAGGTACGTTTGTCATAGAGAAAAGGAAACCACAGTTAAGTCTCCTTTAACTGCAGAACACATAAGATTTCACATGTGAATAGCAAAAACTGATAACTGATTTTACTATTTATACCAAGGAAGAGCTTTAATACCATAGATGGTGTGACGCTTTTAACTTAATTGGTTGCAATAACTGCTTACACATTTTCAAATTTTTTTCTAACATAAAAATCTAGAAATACTGAAGATGATAAAATTTCTACACTAGGTTGCACCTGTAGACAAGGTTTCTGCTACAACATCCACTCAAACCACAAGAAGTTGAAACCAGCATAAAAGTGCAGGGAAAATTTGACTAAGTCTTTCTGAAACATCAAACCATGCAACATTACCAAAGGCAGATATTGATTTTATTCATTAAAAGTTAAATTATTTAAAATTATGGACTCACACAAGGTATTAGAAAATGACTGGTTTAAACAGAGGACAGTGATAGCTGGTGTTGGGTGCAGGCAATGCATTGTATTCATAATCAGTCTCTTTACCTGTTTCCACTGGGGTATGGGAGCAAGACGGCCCTGCTCTCGTCTGCTGGATGGTTGGTTGTGAACACGTTCTTGGTAAGGCAGGACAGGTTGCTGCA